GTTGTGGAGGAAAGGGGACCCTAGTTCATTGTTGATGGGATTGTAGACTGGTGCAACCACTATGGAAAACAGTATGGAATTTTCTCAGAAAACAAAAAATGGATCTCCCTTTTGACCCAGCAATTCCATTGCTAGGAGTATATACTAAGAATCGTGAAATGACAATCCAAAAGAACCTGTGCAGTCAATGTTCACAGCAGCACAATTTACAATAGCCAAGTGCTAGAAGCAACCTAGGTGCCCATCTGTAAATGAATGGATCAGAAAGCTATGGTCCATTTACACAATGAAATTCTATGCAGCAGAAAGAAAGAAGGAGCTCCTATCCTTTGGGACAGCATGGATGGGACCGGAAAGCATTATGCTAAGCAAAATAAGCCAGGTGGTGAAAGACAAATACCATATGATCTCACCTTTAACAGGAACCTAAACAACAAAACAAATGAGTAAAATATAACCAAAGACACTGAAATTGACAGCACGGTAACAGTGACCAGAGGGGAGGGATTTAAGTGGAAAAGAGTGAAGGGTTTGTAGGAGCAATTATAGAGAACACATGGAGAATAAGGGAGGAGGGTGTAGGAGGGTGGGAGGTGGGGAGGGCTGGGGGATTAGGCTGGGCTGGGGGAAAAAGGAAGAAAACTATACTTGAACAATTTTTTAAAATGTGAAAAAATAAATAAAAAATAAAGCAAAGTGCATAACATTTACATAATTTAGTAATTATTGTGAAACGTATGTAGTATGCATATATACACATGGAGGCCATATGTGCACACTTATGTATGGATATGTGTCTGTTTATATGTGTGTGTACACACATATCTTTAGAAGATTATACAGCAATAGCTACTAGTTGTCACCAATTTTTCCTGGGGAGGCTACCCTGTAAGTAGAAAATGACACTAAGGGAAACATGTATTTCTCTGTATGCTTGTACCATTGAACTTTTATTATGTGCATGTATTAATTATTCTACAGAGTTTAGGGAGCTAAAAATTAAATCCCTGAAATAGTTGGAAAACTGGAGGGATCAGAGGCACCAGAGATATCTCTCATCAGGGTCAGTCTGAAGGCCAAGCCTTACTTTTGCATTATGACCCTACGCATTTCCTGGAAACAGCACCCACCAAGGAATCAAGATGGGAAATAGTGGGAACTTGGAATCTGGTATAAAACATACAGTCGTTTTCCATTTTTATTTTTATTGTTTAAATTATTTTTTTGCTTTTATTTTTAATGTATATTCTTAATGATTAACTTCCCTTAGTGAGCATGGTGGGAAGACCAAGAAGTTTAAATTAACACTCAGTTTTGTCTGAGGACCACAATTATCTTCACTGCAAGAACCATTTATAACGCCAGTGAAACAACTAGAGAAGAATAGAAAGTGTTAATTATACATATACATGGCTCTCGTGTGCTGGAATAATGTGGGGAGGTCTTGTGGGAAGACACGAAGTCAGCAGAAATTATGAGAGGTCACTTCTGATGCTCATATCAGCATGAGGAGGAGCTTGGAGGCAATGATTCGGCTTGGTGCTTATGGAGAGCAATGAAAAAGTGTTTTGAGTTATGCAAATATCGTGCACAAATTTAAAATGTGCTTGGACCTCTATATTCAAGCACAGCATATTCTAAAATGATAAATCAAGAAGGTCTGAGGGAATGTAGAATATACTAAAAAATGACAACTACAATTACTGCTACTTCAATAGAAAATATAAATGTATAAAGTTAGACAACTGTCTATCTAAAGACTACCACATAATGGTTGTGAATGTCACTTCTGAAATCAAACCAGGACTCAGATCCTGGCTCCTGGCTCCGTCCCTCGGTACTGCCTTAATCTTGGGCAAATTACATCAGTGGCCTGATCCTTGGTTTCCCCCACAGTTAAATGGAAATAATAATAATAGTTACCTGATAAACCTTGTTGAGGTGATTTAGCGAAGCAATATATGTGAAAACAAATCTGTGTTTATTATACAACTGACCCATAATTTTTGCCAACAGAGTGTGATGGGTTCTGAATTCAAAGTGTTTAGGTTCAATTACTGGCTACAACACTTAATAAGCTGAGACAATGAACATTTTACCTCACCAGTCTGTGCTTTATTCCTTCTCTCTCTAAAAAGGGGGATAATAATAGTGATCTGCTGTGTTTTCTCTGTTCTGCTTAGCAGGTTACCTCAAATTTTGAAATTTAAAACAACAACCTGTGAACCAAAGGGTAGCTGGTTCGATTCCCAGTCAGCGCACATGCTTGGGTTGCAGTCAGGTCCCCAGTTGGGGGCATGTGAGAAGCAACCACACACTGATGTTTCACTCCCTCTCTTTCTCCCTCCCTCCCTGCCTGTCTATAAATAAATAAATATAATCTAAAAAAATAAAAACAAAACTCACAGTTGTGTTTGACTGCATTTTCTGCTTTGGATCACACAAGGCTAAAATCTACATTTTAATCCAGGGATATTTTAAACATTAAAGAACATTCTGGATTAAACACTTTTGGAAAGGTTTCTTAAACACAGGACCTTTCAAAGTTTTATATGCTAACATTCACCATGAATCTTTAAGATACTGGTATGATATGCAATGTTACCCAGATTATTTGACCAAGGAAAAAATTTTTCCCCAGAAACTATTAACATCTTGGGGACAGTGAGCCTGCAGAAAATGTTTTGGGAAGTGCTGTCTTCAAGTGATGTATAGATTCACTTTTGGCACTTTAAGCACATATTTGGACCAGCTATAAACTGTAGGCTGGATCGTATATGATTAGTAAAGGTCCCTTAGCACTTTATGTGAGGCAGAAGATCCGTAACAGAATATCATTCTTTTACATCTTCTTCTTTTGTAAGTAAATCTCTTTCCTTTGGTCTTCTAACATTTCTCATATTCCACTTCTGAAGAGGCTATCTATGAATTTAGTAAGTGAAGTGAGTGCTATAAATGTAAATTAGGTAAAGTGCTTGTAACTTTCAAAATGAAAGGCTTATTGGTACCCGATCATTATCAGTAAGTGGTTGGGGGAGGAGGATCCAAGCCTGGGGAGCTGTGGACTTGAGTCTATGTATCAGATTTAGATGGTAAATGGGGCTTGTGGAAGGAGAGGTATTAAACTGGCAACATGTTTTACAAGTCATCTACCAGTTAATACGAGATGGCATTTATAGTCATAACTCCAGGTATTTGGTCACAGAATATGCATTTTAAAGTAGTTTTATGTTCTCCTGAAGTTCTTGTATTTTAAGATTTTAAATTAAAAAATAAAAAAACAGTAGCATACACTGTTATCAAAAAATTATTTAACTTCCTAACGTGTTCATTAAGGTCATGCGTTATCATAAACATGGAAATAAACAGGGAATTAAATAGGAAAACAATATCTCACCCTAGAGACATAGGTTTTTTGATATAACATTTTTGAAATGTAGTGCTATCTTCTAGTAATAATGCTTTAACACTAATACTAACCATGCCATTTCATTAAGGAAGGAAGAAGTACCTTATGGTAAACATGCTACAGCACAACCAGAAAGGGCGCTTTCAAAATTAAGTGATAATGGTGTGCCAGGAAGTTGGAATTTAATTGTTTAAAACTTGTTTGCTACAGCTCAGGACAGTGATTCTAATACCAGTTGTTTTGAGTATGAAAATAGATAGCAAATAAATCATTCTTTCTCTTTTCCTTAGCAAAGTCATTTTTTAAACTCTTTTTTTCCCACCCAGTTCCTTAAGTGGGTGAAAAAAGTGAAGGGACTAAGAAGTACCGATTGGTAGGTACAAAACAGTCATGGGGATGCGAAGTACAGCCTAGGAAATACAGTCAATAATACTGTAATTATGGATGTGCCAGTTGGGTACTGGAAATACCAGGTGGAATACTTTGTAAAGTACATATGTTTGTCCAACCAATATGCTGTACATCTGAAATCAATATAAATAATATTAAATGTAAACTGTAATTGAAAACATTAAAAACTGAAAAAATCTATTAGCAGGAAAAAAAACTATTCTTTCACACTCCCAACAAACACGAGATCAGAACAAACCTTGTTTTGAATAATTTATGTTGATGTTGTTTTTTTGTGTGCCTGTGGCATAACACCTTAACTCCTCCATAGAATATAAAGTATTACTTTTCCATCAGTCTTGCATCCTTGACCCCACCTCAAATTCCAAAAAGAAGGTAAAAATTAAAGTTTTAAGTAACTCAAGGAGGCAAAAGGAGGTGAAGTTGGATGGCCTAATGTCTTGTTATCCTTTTCTTAGTACATTCCCCTTTCACATTGTGCCTTCAAGAATGTATTCTTCAGTTTTTCCGTGTCTTTGTTTCTGTCCCTCTTTCTACCACACTCTCTATAAGGGGAGGGGGGAAACCCTGAGTTTCATTTTGGTACCTGCAACTGCTGGAATGGAATCCATGTACACTAAGCAATCATTCTAACAGGAAAGAGAAGAGAGCACTATTGTCAGCCATGGGCTATATTTTGGTTCAACCACTTTCACTGCAAAAACCAGTCCGTTTATATTGTTTTTGGTGGGTAACAGGGTAATTCGATCCACTTTAGTGATGCTTCGAAAATCTGTCATTGCCTTCTATTTTCTTGCACTGTCCCCAAATTCGCCGCAGTATTTCTCATTTGAAACAGATGTACTGCTTAACAAGACGCATGTCTCCTATTCGCTTGCCCTAAGCCTTCATCTTTTTGCCCCTGATAAGAGATGAGCCCACCACCCCCTGCTCCAGCCCCAGAGCTAACAAAAGTGCAGACAAAAGTAGAGCAGCCCTGTCTTGTATGATTACAGTCAGGCTGCTGAATAGGTTGCATTTCCTGAAAACACAGGACAACTCACTTTGCAGGGCTCTGTCTCTTTTGCAGTTTCGTGCCCCAAGAGCCACTTTTCAAAATCTCTTAACTTCTTTTCCTGGCTGTATTGGGAACTGGGCTTCAGGGGAATTCTTAACGTAGTCCATCATAACGTCAACGCTGGAAACCAAGGGAAATCTCAGACAACAGGCGTCTCTGGTGTGCGTGGAAAAGGTACAAGAAACGTAGGAATGTAAGAACTTCAGAGGCAGTAGCAGGTGCCAGGGTGTGGCTGCAGTTGTCTCCCCTTTCTCTTCCAGCAGAAGGAGCCACCTGAGAGAGAGAGAGAGGGAGAGAGAGAGAGATTGAGACTGGGGGAGGGAGGGAGAGACGGAGGGAGGGAATAAAAGGGAGGACGGGGGGCGGGTGGCGCCTGGGGAGCGCGCCCGGGAGGCTCAAGCTCACACGCACGCCGCCTCTGTTTGTACACAGTGCGCTCCCGGCTGCCCGCTCGCCCGCTCCACGCCCGCTCACGCTTCATTGTTCTCCAAGTCAGAAGCCCCGCAGCCACGCGGCTAGAGCGGCGCTAGCAGCGCCGGCTGAGCGCACAGTGTCCGCCAGCGCGGGTGACCCGGTCCGCGCGGGAGCCCGCGCCCCGCCCCGCCCGCCGCGCTCAGCTGGGACCCACCCGCAGCGGAGGCTGAGCCAGGCAGCTCCCCAAAGCTCGCCCACCTCTTTGAGCCAGAACACAGGCAAAGGAGAAGAGAAATTCCTCTCTCTGGTCACCCACTCCTTCTCGCCCTGTCCAAGAATTTGTTAAAGAAGACGCTTCGGCAAGAAGACATCTTCCTGAATTCACGGTCAGGGGCGGGGTTGCCGGCGACCTGCGGTGCCACCTCCGCGACGCTGCCCCCGGCTGCGGTCCCTGATTAGCTGGAGTCAAGTCTGGGAGAAGGGATCATGAAGAGCTCCGTGGCCGCTGGGCTCTTGGTCGTGCTCAGCCTCGGTGTCCCCCAGTTTTGCAAAGGTGAGGCAGCGAGGGCCGGGCCGCTGGGTACGGGACACTGGAAAGTCCTCTGAGAAACGCCGTGCAAGGAGCTGGCGTAGAGGCGGACCCCCGGGCGGGCTGGGGAGGGGAGCACGGCGGGCTGGCGGCGCGGAGGAGGCGCCCCGAACGGGGTTCCCCGGAAAAGTGCGAGTCGGAGGGAGTGAACGGGGTTGAACGGGTGGTACCGAGGTGAGAGTGAGGAAAGAGGGGGACGAAGGGAGGCGGGAGGGAACGGCGCTCTTGGGCACCAGAGATTCCACTGCTCACTTGGCCATCGGGTGGCCGTGACCGCTTATACCCTTCCAAGGCAATGCTTGTAAAGCCCGCTAAGATCACCGATCCCGGGGCTGGTATTTCCTGCGGGCCAGCTGGGGAAGCGAGGGCTGGGGCCGGGGGGTGGGGGGCGCGCGTCATCTAGTTAGAACGGGATGAAGCTGGAGAGCTGCAGGACCGCAGCTGCCTCTGGGGTGCGGCGCTTTGCCGCGGGGCTGGGCTGAGCAGTTTGCAAACCCAAACCTAACGCTGGGAGTTTGGGCAGAGTGTGAGAAGGAGAACTGTCTGACCAGTGAGTTCAGCTTTCTTCCGCCTTTCCATCCGAGAAGGCAATTCTGGATTGCCCCAGAATTGGCCTCTTCTCTAATCGTAGGGGTCTGGAGCTTTGCTCAGCACTCCCTTCCGTGCAAGCTGAACTCTTGAAAATAGAAAATCTTTCGATGCAACCCACACGCCCCCACCTAAGAGCAGAAAAGTTGTAAGAGCTGGTCTGGTGGTGCTTTCCATGACTTGTGTGAAATAAACCATACTGTTTAAAAAAAAATAGAGGACTTCGACGAACCTCCGGCTGAGTTATATAGATAGATGACTTCCAGGTCCTTTTCCAGAGTGGCTTTTCATTGCAAGCCCTGGCCGTGGTCCCGTCTCTGCGCCCGTGGAGGCTGAAGTTGGCACAGGGAAAGGGCAGGGGGGAGCGACAGGGGCTCTGGGAAGGCCGCGAGAGGGGGGTTCTCGTCCCTTCTGCACTCACAGATGCCGGTGGTCCCTTCTAAGGGGCTCCTTAGGCTGCTTCACGGAGAGCTGAGCGCACTACAGGGTTTAAAATTGAGTGCCCCTAAAATGGATAGTTGGATTAAACATGTGTTGACTAGAATACATTTGTGGTTAGATACTGCATGACTATTCTGCACCACCCATCCATTTGTTTCACGGGAAAATTGTGTACTCTTGGACTACTCTTCGCCCAGGAAGCCCGGCGTTGCTAGCCACACGCCCTCGCTGCCCTGCCAGTAGTGATCTGTGTGGCCCTTCCTTTCCTCGCCCGCCACTCTCCCCCAGAACGAGGACGTTATCCCCAGCGTGAGTGTAGGGTGTGCTTCCCCAGCGCTTACAAAGTGCCCTTCCAGTGATCAGGCAGAGGCAGCCGCTCCACTGAAGGTTACAGAATGGTAATGGCTCTGTAGTTGCTCAGCCGGGTATCCTCAGCGATAATGCTCCCACCACCGATATTTTTTCCTTTCTCTTATTTCCCGAATGAATTTCATTTGCACTTTGATCCCTCAGCTGGAAGGGGAAGGGGAAGGGGAAGAACTGCAGACACTTCTCTCCTTCTCCCTTCCCTGCCTCCGTTCACGAAAACACACACACACACACACACACACACACACACACACACACACACACTCACCCACACCTACACCATGCCACTGCCACCATCTGTCCGGCTCCGAGGAGGGTGGCAGAGGTGGAAGAGAAGGAGCTTTTAGTGTGTGTGACCGCTCTATCCTTGCTTGGTCTGGTTACGGTAGCCTGGGGTCGCGATGAGTCCCAGCTCGCTGCAGCCTGAAGCTCTGCCTCCTAAGGATAACCACGCGTAGGGCACAGCTTACTCCTCCAGACAAACCTAGCATGGTAAGGTTGCCTGGCCTTCCCTTCGGGCTCACAGACAATGCTCCAGCAGCTGTGGACTGCAAATTCTTCAGTAGTTTTCTCCTGTTTCAGCCAGGCTGTGGTGAGAGGGAAAGAGGGCTTTCAGAAGAAGCACCATTTTCCATGAGCAATTTATGTTAAACTCGCACCTTTCTACTTCATTCTCCCTCAGCCCTGCCAAAGGCAGAATGCAGCTGGCATGACAGCTCCAAACAATTAAACTTGGAGCAAAGTTATTGAAGCCAGTGATAACACTTAGCATTTCTCTGTGCCCTGTCCCTTCCACCTCCACACACATAATTTGTCCAATGCATGCACACTTTTTAGAAATTGGAGTTCCCCTGTGTGGGTTGTAATTTTTGTGCATTAAAGCATGGGATTTGATAAGGACATGTAATTCCTTTTATTAGTCGTTTTTATTTTAAAATTAAACCAATGGATCAGTCAGACTGAATATTTTATTAACTCTTAAATTATTCATCGTTATGGGCTGCTCTAAAAAATCCAATAACATGCATACAGTTGCACGTGACATCTTATGCAATCTGTCCCTGTGCCTGCAGTTTGTGCCTGAAGTCTTTACACAAATGGCACTGTCTAAAAATGTCTAGACATGTCCTAAATACTATGAATTGTTGCCATTTGCGTTTTTTTAAAACAATGGTATTTTTTAGTTAATTGGACAGGAACATAAATTAGTACCTGAATAATCTCACTGGGAATAACAACACTATGCTTCTGTGATTAGTATAGGAATATTTGTACTGAAATAACAAGTATTTTATGTTTTAAAAATTATTATACGTTAGTGTCGTCATTACCTGTTTAACACAATCATCATTTTTATACCTTAAAAATAAGTGCTAACTTCATATTCTTGGTGAAACATTTAAAAATAATTTTGAGATGTTGAATTAAAAATAACAATTTAGGGAAAATAGAATATCCTGCTGTGACTGTTTGACACTAATGCAAAATCTTGGCCATGTCACATGGTGTCATGGTGCAACATACATGTTTTTCCCCTTCTGGTCATGAATATTTTTCCTAATTATTCTTGAAATACTTCCTTAGAATTGAATGTATTTTTTACATTTGGATGACTTTGAGAAAACATTTACAATAACACAAATTAATAGTTAAGAAGTTGAAACAGTCTATTCTTCCTTCTGTGGTCTTGAAGTAACAAAGATCTTTGAAACCAAGTAAATGTATACCACTTCTAAACTCTTCTCTAAATTTAAACTCTTTGTATTTTGCTCAGATATCTTAAGATCATTATTCATTAAAACATGTGTTCAGGATTAGGGTATTTTTAATAAATCATTAATACAATTTACCTTTTTTGCTACACACGTAGGATTTTTCCTCCTTCCAACATTATACCAGTATAGAGTAAAGAGATAAAGTATACGTGACTACAGTAACGTAGTTTGGTTACTCACAGACATTACAAAGTGGTTGATAGCTTCCAGACTCTAAACTTATAGCCCAGACTCCTAATTTCACTGATATTAAGATAAAAGTTTTAATTAGATTATTTATTTTGAAAACTTTTTATCTTTTACAGGATTTTGAATAATGGGATGGACTTTATATGTTATCATTTGTGTACAGTTTAAAAGCTTGCTAGATTTAAGAGTACCTGAAGCCCAATAAATTAATTCTGATATTTGCTGTTTACTGAACACACTTGCAGGTACAATAGTGCTGAGTCTGATTTACAGGGAAATGGGTTAATTATATTCTTGCCAAAATAAATAAGCAACAAGGACACAAAAAAAACAACGCAGGCTTCAAAACTCAGTTCAAGCCAGAGTAAATCAGAATGAGTAGGTACTGGGAAACAAATAGAAAACTTTGAAAATATATAATTAATGGTACGGCTTCTGTCAGAGCTAATAAATTTGCTTTTTATACAGTTGAATTTATTACCTCAGTAGTTTGAAAACAAACATGTTCTTGGGGAAAAAAAAGTAGAAAATCAAAGCCAAGCCATTGCTATTATTCAATTCTATTCTGTGTTTTAATGAAGATGTCTAGCATGGCTTCATTTTAATTTTTGTTTTTAAAATCAGTGCTCATGTAATGACTTTAGTGTCTGTTGATTAATCAAAGCAACCATGTATGTGTATACAAAGAGTTGACTGGTTACCCATATGGGCTAGTCACAGTTTTCTTATAGTTATGTGATAATGCTAGAATTTAAGTGCTATAAATACTTAAACTGAATGAATTACCACTTAATGGACACTTAAAACACCTTTAAAGAGTCTGATTTGAAAGAGTTGTTGAAAGGAAAAGAAGACTGGAATCAACTCTGCCCTTTCCAGCAGGTGTCAGGATAATCAGTGGAGATCTTTTAAAGGAAAGATGGAAAAAATAAAAGAAGTAAACTTGTAAATGCTAATCTGCAAATCCACATAAAGTGAATTTCTACTCAGTATGAAACTGATATTATTAGTTAGTCTTCAGTGATCTCCTGGAAAAGTGAGGACCCACTGTGTGTTCCGTGGGGTTTTGACATGGGAGCAGTGTTGCTCTCACTGCCGTGAACAAGCCCAGGTGTGGGCTGAACCAGTGTTCCTCAGAGGTTTCCCGAGTTCTTTCAAAGCAAATGCATACAGAAGCATGATTTGATTGCAATAAAACAATCATTAAAATATTCTGCATGCTTTTAAGCTTATTCTACATACCAACTGTCTTTTATAAAGAGAAATTTTGTGATACTGACTTACATGAATGCATGTACATGGACCAACTCTATGTTTATATACACCTATATGACTAGTAACAGATGACTGCATATCTTTTTCTGTCATGATAGTAAAGTGAATGTTTTATAGAGTTTGCAAGTTTCTAAATAAGTCACGTGCACAAAACAGACTAAAGGACATGTTAAAGCTTTAATGCTTATCAAAGCGTTATTAATCCTTACTAATCCTTATAGATGTGCCTACTGTGTATCAAGCCGTCGGTGACTTGACATCATTTATCTGTTTTTAACTGATCCTTACCTGAGAATGGTTCCTTGCAGAGTAGTTCTGGGATCTGCT